GCCCTAGTGCCCTCCCTCTCTCTCTGTAGTCCCCCACAGGCTCACAGTTGTTATGTGCAGATCGCAAGGACCCCCAAAAGACCACCACAGAGACCGAATCCCGAATGTAAAAGCAAAGAGTCTTTATTTCAAGCTCTGAGGTTGGTCCCTCTGTCTGTCCCACACAGCGGTGAGAGCAGAGAGCCCTGAGCTCAGGTGGGGCAGAGTTTTTATCATAGCAGAGGTTGGGGTGAGGGGATTTCCAGGGTCCAGGACCCTGATTGGCTGACAATTGTCTAGGGGTATCTGTAAAACAGAAAATAGGTGTGTGCTAGACTCAAAGACATCTGGCCACCTTATCTAATGGTTGGAATGTTTGGGATGTCAGGTGCTTCCTCACTCCTGTGTAGATCCCTGGGTGGTATCAGCTTAAGGCTTTTCCTAGATCTGGGTGTTGCCTGCCAGTAAGCCTGTCACAGAAGCTGTATCTAGGCCCCTAAGCCTGTCATGGCTGCTGTGTGGTCAAGCTATTTTGGGGCCTCTTCACAACAGTCCCCCTTCATCTTCTCTAGACTCTGCCTTCTGCCTAGTCATAAGGACCATCTGCCTCCTAGATTCCTTCCTCAGGCGACCACAGGTACAGACTCCGCACATCCGTTGCCTGTTTGTGGTTGAGGTATGTACTTTGCCAACTCTGCATAGATCCAGACCCAGCCACTGGGCACCTTGACTCATAGGCCCAGACTCTGGTGGATACTAAGGATATACCTCTTTCTCCTGTGTCTCTCAGCTCCTCCTGTTCCTCCATGCTCAGGGAAATATGTGGACCCATATATTTTTTTTTCTTTTCTTTTCTTTGGTTTGTTTGTTTTTCGAGACAGGGTTTCTCTGTGTAGCCCTGGCTGTCCTAGAACTCACTTTGTAGACCAGGCTGGCCTCTGCCTTCTGAGTGCTGGGGTTAAAGGTGTTGCACCATCATACCTGGCTTTCCCTGTTTCTTTCAACAGAGCTTCATGTCATCTAGGCTAGACTTGAACTTACTTGGAAGCCCAGGCTGCCTTCAAAACCGTCATTGGATCTTCTTTTGTGACAGTCTCCCATACTTTGGGCTGACTTCAAACTCCCTGTAGATCTGAGGTGGTCCTGACCCCCTTCTCTTCCCAAATATTGAATATCCAGGCATGCACTGCCATACCCTGCTAAAACATGTTTGTTTTTTAAATGTGTGTGTGTGTGTGTGTGTGTGTGTGTGTGTGCGCGCGCGCGCGCGCGCAGCGCGCGCGCGCGCACACACACACACACACATTTCCTAGAGACTTAATTCAGGACCTTGCATAAACATGCTGGGGATTACCTACATGCATGACCACATTCAGCATTTAAAACGTCAATGACTTCTTTTCTGAAGTACAGTTCACAAATATCATTGCTTCTTGCCACTAAAACAGGGCAATAAAATGATAATAAATTGTGTTTCGTGTAGAAATAAAATATTCAAGATTCAAGTAGTTGTGGGGGTCTGTAGCCCAGTGATGGAGCGCTTGCTTAACATGTGTGTGCCAGTAAGACCAAAACGAGAAGAAGGAAACAAGCAGTGATGTTTGGGCTCTGGCTGCACCTCAGTGAGCACATGATCGAGTAGTGGAGTACTAGGTTCAATTCCAGGTCCTGACAGAAATGACTAATATAATACTACTTTTGAGTTTCATTTATTTATTTGATTGATTTTTTTTTTTGGTTTTGGTTTTGGTTTTTTAGATAAGTTCTCACTCTGTAGTCCAAGCTAGCCTGGAACTAACTATGTAGAGCAGGCTGGTCCCTGGCTCTGCTTTTTAAGTGATGGGGTTATACATATGAGTCTCCATTCCTGACATCAGCTTTCATTTTGTTCTGATTTGGTTTGGTTTTTCCAAGACAGGGTTCCCTGTGTACCTCTGGTCATCCTGCAACTCACTCTATAGACCAGGCTGGCCTCAAACTCACAGAGATCCACCTGCCTCTGCCTCGCCAAGTGCTGGGATTAAAGGCCTGGCTCTGGCATCAGCTTTAAAAACAAATTTAAAAGCTATTTTAATGTTCTGGGACAAATATAGATACAGATCTCAAAAAACAAGTGGTGACTGAGAATTCTTTAGCACGGGCAAGACCCCAGGTCCAATGCCCAGACCAAGAGAAAAATGGGATGTTACACAAGGTCCAGGCATGGTAGTATGTGCATTCCCAGCACTTAGTAGGTGGAGGCAGCATTGCTAGTTCCAAGTCAACCTGGACTACATAGTACATCCTGTTTCAAAAACTAAAGAACAGCCTGTCGGCGGTGGTGCACACCTTTAATCCCAGCACTCAGGAGGCAAAGGCAGGAGGATCTCTGTGAGTTTGAGGACAACCTGGTCTACAGAGTGAGTTCCAGGACAGCCCAGGCTATCCAGAGAAACCCTGTCTTAAAAAAAAAAAAAACAGCCGGGCGGTGGTGGCGCACGCCTTTAATCCCAGCACTCGGGAGGCAGAGGCAGGCGGATCTCTGCGAGTTCGAGGCCAGCCTGGGCTACAGAGTAAGTTCCAGGAAAGGCGCAAAGCTACACAGAGAAACCCTGTCTCGAAAAACCTAAAAAAAAAAAAAAAAAAAAAAAAAAAAAAAAAAAAAAAAAAAACAGCAATAACAACAAAAACCAAACCAAACAAACAAAAAAAATTCAGGAACCAAGCATGGTGGCACATGACTTTAATCTCAGCAGGCTGATTTCTGTGGGTTTGAAGACACTCTGGTCTACATGGTAAGTTCCAGGCCAACTGTCCAGACCCTGTCTCCCAAATATTTTTACAAGTCACAATCCAGTGTGGTGGCACACACCTTTAAAATCACACCAAGATGGCGGCTCAGTGAGCAAACCACTTGCTGGGCAAGCTTGAGTTCCATCCGCAGAACCCACATGAAGATGGAGGAAGAGAACTGACTTCACAAAGCTGCTCTCCGACCTTCACATCTGCACTGCAGTGCGCGCGCCCCATATGTACACACAATAGTAAATAAATAAAACTTTAAAGAGTCAAAATTAATGCAAAGATTCACTGTGAACAAAATTATAAAAATTAAAGAAAGACATGCCAAACTTTATTGGAGCCTGAAATATATCTGTTCATATATATATATATGTATATATATATATATATGTGTGTGTGTGTGTGTGTGTGTATATGTATGTATGTATATGTATATGTATGTATATATATATTGCTTGTTTTTTGTTTTTTTCGAGACAAGGTTTCTCTGCAACAGCTCTGGCTGTCCTGTCCTGGAACTTGCTTTGAAGATCAGGCTGTCCTCGAACTCACAGAGATCCACATGCCTCTCCTTCTCGAGTGCTGGAATGAAAGGCATATGCCATCACTGCCTGGCATTTTTGCTCATTTTTGGTGGTGGTAGTGAAATACATATACCATAGAATTTACAGTCTTAACCATTAACATTTTTATTGGTTATTAATGTGTGTGTGTATGAGAGAGAGAGAGAGAGAGAGAGAGAGAGAGAGAGAGAGAGAGAGAGAGAGAAAGTGTGAGAGAGAGAGAGAAAGTGTGAGAGAGAGAGAGAGAGAATGTGTGGGTGTTGATGCATGCACACCATGGCCTGTATGGAGGGTTAGAGGACAATTTGGGGGAGTTATTTTGCCCCCCCACCTTGTTGTTTTAGGCAGAGTCTCTCATCTTTCCATGCCGAGTACTCCATAAGCTTCCAGGCAACCCTCCCGTCCCCTCTCTTGATGCAGAAGGTACTGAGATTACAAATGGGAGCTTCTGCATCCAGCTTTTCCCAGGGCTTCCAGCCCGGCTCATCAGGCCTCTGCAGCCAGTGTTCTTACCCACCGAGTCACCTGGCTAGCTTCACCTTAGCTCTTTGTTTGTTTTGTTTTTTGAGACAGGGTTTCTCTCCGTGTAGCCCTGCCTGTCCTGTTCAGAGACGCGCCCGGGATTAAAGATGTGCTAGCAGCCAGTGCTCTTAAGTGCTGAGCCATCTCTCTCCAGTCCCCTGACTTTTTTTAAAGACTTATTTTGTTATTTATTATGTGTGTGTGTGTGTGTGTGTGTGTGTGTGTGTGTGTGTGTGTGTGTATCTGTGTGAGGGTTAGTGAATGTGAGCACAGGTGCCTTCCAAAGCCAGAAGAAGGATCAGATCCTCTGGAGCTGGAGTTCCAGGTGGTTGTGAGCAGCCTGACGGGAGAACTGAACTCAAATCCTCTGTAAGAGCAATATGTGCTCTTGCAAACAGCTGAGCCATTTCTCCAGTTCCCCTAATTCTGATTTAAAAAAGAGGGGGTCTCAATATGTAGCCCTGATTGACCTGGAACTTGTTATAAAGACCAAGATAGTCTCACACAGAGACACGCCTGCCTCTGCTTCCTGCGTGCTGGGACTAAAAACATGTGCCTCCACACCCAGACCTTGGCTGCCGCTTTTGCTCTGGAGATGAGAACCTCACTTGCCCCAGTCACTCCCAGCTTTGAGAGCCTCTGTAAGTCCTCATTACCTCCACTGTCTCCCCACCCATCTCCCCTTCTCTGCTCCTGCTTCCCTGAGCTCCTGTGCTCACAAGTCCAAGTGGTCAGCCAGGTCTTATGCACTCTCCTGCCTCTGTCAGGTGAACTTCTGCCTCAAATCTCCTTGTCACTAGGTGTCAAGAGGTACCTACAATCCCAGCATTCAGAGTCTGAGGCAGGAGGATGGTGAGTTCATGACCAGCCTAGGTTACCCAGTAAGACCTTGTCTCATAAAACAAGTAAAGAAAAAACTCCCTGCTGATCTGAGACTGTTCCAGTAACATTTCCCATATCCCTCAGCTTCTGCCAAGGGTCATGAGTTGGACCCATTATCCCCCTCCAAAATCCCCTGAGACCAAGTCAGGCCAGGCACTTTACTTTGGAAGGGTCATCTTCCTACATCCCTCGTGCCTAGTACTGGGAACTTAATAAATGTCCAGGACTCATGGTAACTAAGCTTCCCCCACTGACTCAAGAAAGGACAGCAGACCTGGTGCAAAGGTTTATTGCTGAGTCTGTGCACGTAGCTAAGGGAAGTACAGATCATGGCCCAGCCTTGCTGGACAGAAGCACCGTGTGTCTAACAGCAGCGCTGACTCTGGTCCACAGGCTTAAGCAAAGACTTGCCGCTTGATGAAGGAAGGAGAAGGGGCTGGGGGATGTGGGACATTGTCTCTAATGGTTCAGGCTAGGTTTTCCGTTCTCTCTCGCAAGGACTGGGTCCTGAGTCAGGAGGCACAACAGTCACATGGACTTCCCTGTAACCTCACATGGAATTGGTCTTTACCTGTGGTTTGATCAATAGGAGTTGGACTCTGCCCTCAGCCACCCCTCAACATAGCTTGATTATTGGTCATAGCTGATGTCAATAGTGCCCTCCTTCAATATACCATACCTTGACCAGCCAGCCCTGAGTATTGTGTGTGGGTGGATGAGGTGGGGTGTGGAAGTGTTCAAGGACAGAGGGGCAAGACCCAGAGGGAAAAGGAACTGGGAGATAGCCTGAGCCTAGTTTTTGGGGATGGGTTTGTCTTGTGTCTCTCCCTGGCACCCATCTCAAAGTCACTAATTTATCTATGTGAGGCTACACAGACCAGAGCTTGGACTTTGGATCCCTTGGGCTGCTGGGGGGGACAGTTACTGACCACTGCGTGGACAGATGTTGGACTTGTCATATGCAGGTAGCAGGCTGAAATGACCTGCTGGCAAGCAGCAGGCCTGCTTGAGGGAGGGATACCTCCAGCCCTTCATGAATGCTGGGGAGGGAGGGAGGGCTGTTTGCTGAACCGAAATCCACCAGGTGAGCTGCTGCTGGTGGGGGTGGCAGAAGGGCGTCAGGGGACGGGTCACTCGGGCACTGCTGAGTCACTGTGAGCTCCAGCTGTCCCAAGTCTTGCCTTTGTCCTAGCCGAGGCTGGCTGCCGTGGGTCCAAGAGGCCAGTGCAGCCAGGCGGTGAAGGGCAGGGCGGGGTTGGGGACTTGGGGGAGGGTCTGCACTTCAAGCCTCGGAGCTTTGGATGTGTGACTAGTGGAGCAGCAGGCTGAGGCACGGGAGTTATTGGAGGGGACTACAGGGCAGCTGGGCTACATACAGAGTCTCAGAGCAAGGGACACACATGAATTCAGGCATCTGTGAAGAGAAAAGGGATTGGAACCTCAGCATTCTTGAGCAGCAAAATAAATGAGATTAGGCGTTGTCGGGGCAGCCCTGGAACCTGTACCCCTGGAAGTTGGGGAGGGATGAAAAAATGTTGAGCTCAAGAGTAGGGGGAGGGGCCTCTGGTAGTGGGTGGAGCCTGAAAGCCGTGGGGCGGGGTTTAGGGGTGGGCAGCAGGGAATGGAGCAGTCTGGAGCAGTGATCATCGTGGGGAACTAGGGGCAGGGTTCGGGTCCTGAGATTATGGAGCAGGATGATGGAAGGTCTGGCTAGCTAGGACCCCCACCTCAGAAGAGCCCGCAGTCTTTGAGGTTCTCCTTGATGATAATGTCGGTGACAGCGTCAAAGACAAACTTGACGTTCTGTGTATCGGTGGCGCACGTCATGTGGGAGTAGATCTCCTTCACGTCACGTCTCATGTTAAGCTCGAGGAACTGCACTTTGATGTAGTTGCCGGCATCCTCGTAAGTGTTAGGTCCTGCGGCAGAGGGCAGCACTCGCTCTGCGCGGGAAGACCTTCCACACGGGAAGGAGCGCGCGGCGGGAATCGTCGGACTGGGGCACCGCCTGGCGGCCGGGGCTAGGGAATCTCACCATCGTAATCGGGAAAGCAGATGCTGAGGTGTGCCTTTTTTATCTTCTCGGAGAAAACGTCCTTCTTGTTGAGGAAGAGCACGATGGATGTAGTGGCGAAGTAGCGATGGTTGCAGATGCTGTTGAACAGGTGCAGGCTCTCGTGCATTCGGTTCTGGGGAAGGCAGAGGCTGTTGGGCACCAGGCTACGCAGACAGCTGCCCCTTCGTCTCTGGGCTCCCGGGACTTAGGCGCCTCCCACCGCTCCCAGACAGCCTCTGCTTCGTGAGTCTCGGTGGCTCCCCCGGCTCCACCTCCCTTCTCAAACACTTGGGCCCAACTTGGCACTCACCACTTCGTCGTCCTCCACCAGCACCATGTCGTAAGCGCTCAGTGCGGCGATGAAAATGATGCAGGTCACACCCTCGAAGCAATGGATCCACTTTTTGCGCTCGGAACGCTGCCCGCCCACATCGAACATTCTGTAGGTCAGAGCGGTGTCCGGATTTAGACCCGTGTATCAGGTCCCCTGGATATATCCACTGGCACCCCTTGTCTTCTTAAGCTGGCCGGGGAGCCCTCATATGGATTGGCATCTGAGGTGACCAGCCTTTCTCCTGGCAAGGGTAGGACCTTAACTCAGGACAGTGAAGTTCCCGTCAGGCCAGCTGAACAAGCGTGCAGGGGTCTTACCTGAAGTTGAGGTCCTTGAAGGAGAACTGCGTCTCGATGATGCCGGTGGTTTTGACACGAGAGCGCAACACGTCCTGCTCAGTGGGCACATAGCCTGGAGTCACCAGACGCTCTAGATCTGAAAGATAGCTGAGGAAGACCACTGGACATGAGTGGGTAAGTGGTGTGGGAAATCACCCCAGCTGGGGCCTGCCCATCCACCTCCTCTGCTCCCTGCATCCACTTGTGCACTCACTAGCCAGCAGAGTCATTGAGCTGGTACTCCGAGGCACGGTCAAAGCAAGCTTGGATACCCGAGTCTTTCCACAAGCGCTGAATGATGTCAGACATCTCCTTGGGCATTGTGCCTTCTTCAATGGTATCCGCCATGTGCATCAGCTTCCGGGCATCATCCTGGTGGCAAGGCAAGGTAGTGGCTGTGAACCTGAGCCTACCCAGGTGCCTTGAGCCCCCAGGGACTGATAGCAGCCTGCCTCACCTGTCTCGCTGAATCTCCATACTGAATGTTGAGCGTGGTCATAGCCCGAACAATGGCCAGGATGGACTGCAGAGTGTTGCCATAGATGATGGCAATGAACTCCAGGCATTCTTCCAGTGAATAACCATCCTGGTGGATAATCCTACAGCCAAGACCAGCAGAGTCAGAGCTTCCTGGGCCTTTAGGGAGGGCTATTGCTAAGGGCTTTAGGATGGACAGGGAACACTCACTTCATCTGCTTGACAATGGTGCTCTTCCCAGATTCACCAGCACCTGAAAGGGAAGCTGTGCCTCAGAGCCGCACTGACCAGCACTGACCACTTCCTTTGGATCAGAGCCCTGGGGCGCCAGCTAGAACTCTAGATACACTTGCCCTCATTTCCATCCAAAGTAAAGTCTTGAAGACTCCTGGGGAAAATGGTTGTAAACGACAAAAGGGTCCTACATCAATTAAGGGACCTTAACTGTGCCCGGGTGTGTGTGTAGGGGAGATACCCCCAAGATTCCGGTTATATACAGCTTTTACTATGCTACAAGATCAAAATAAGGAAACCCTCTAGGGCCACCTTGTGGGGATTTCCAGTATTGCATCCACAGGATTATCTGAACGGGACCAACCTCTGCTTTTCACCTAAAGAGATGTCTCTGAGAGGCTCAGAGGGAATTAGCACCCTTAGATGGGGGGAGAGGACAGAGCTGACATCCTTTCTGAGCCTGCCCTCCTCAAGGGTGTTGGATACAATTAATGGGATTTCCGGCTTAGTTTCTCGGCCTTTCTCCTGGGGCCCCTGGCTTAGTACCTCTGCCTGCCTCCCTAAACATGCAACTTTCCCTTGGGGGTTAAGCAATGGCAGTACACTCATCTCTCCTCACTACCCATGGATCATGGACTTGGCTTTATTCATTCCTGTAGGCATCAATATCTTTCCACTTTCTTCCCCCCCCCCCCCCTCGTTTCTCTATGTAGCCCTGGCTATTCTAGAACTCGCTCTGTAGACCAGGCTGGCCTCAAACTCAGAGATCTGCCTGCCTCTGCCTTCTGAGTGCTGGGATTAAGGGTGTGTGCCACCACTGCCTGGCATCTTTCTACTTTCTTTAGTTGTTTCACAGTCTACCAAGTTCTGGCATCCAGTGCCTTTGTAGACATGGGTGACCCTAGAAGCTTCTTATTCCCAAAGGAGAAAGAGCAGCCAAGAGAACCTGAGCCTTGTTGAGCAGGCCTGGAAAACCAAAGGCTGTACCTTGAGGGCAAAAGTGTGCCTGAATGCACACATTTCTGCAAAGGTGTGTCTGGCGCACAGCTCTGCAGAGAGAAGGGTGTCCCCAGGAAACTGCCATAGGATGCCCAACCTTGGGGGACCGAGACATCACCACCTGTCAGACCTTGCCGAGGAATGGCTCCCACTCTGTGCTCTGCCCCACGACATTGTCACATTGTCATCCCCCCCCCCCCCAGGAATCCTTGCTTCATAGAAAGGCTGCTTGCCTAGCCCCAGGCCGCTGACCCGCAGCAGTCCCCTCCCCAACACTGGCCAGCAGGGACTCCTACCCAGCAGCAGCAGCTTCACAGTTCGAGCATCTTTCTCAGCGTCCTCTTTCAGCTTCTTTTCTAGCTCTCTGGAATGCTTCTCCTCAGCACTGGCCCCAGCCCCCATGGTCCCAGCAGCAGGCAAAGGGACAGGGTAGGCAGCCTCCGGCCTCCTCAGACAACCTTTTGGCCCTAAAGCTGGCAATCAACTGGCTCTCCACAGACCTGTGCAGGCCCTGGAGGGATTGCTTAGTGGGATTTGGGAGCTAGGAATGCCCGAGGGCCAATCAGAGACAAGGACAGGTGAGGCTCAGTCTCCTGGCCTTTTAATCAGGCTGGCAAGGCCTCAATCCATCAACTGCTGACTGTGCACTCCTCTGCCCCCCCCCCCCATTCTCCAGAAGAGACCCTCGAGAGTCCTTCCCCTGTCCTATAGGGGTTCACTTGGTGTAGTTGAGGGAAAAGACCCTTCAGCCCCAGAAGTAGGAGAACTGGGGTTGGGGATTGGCAGGCGAATGCTGAAGGAGAAGCAGGCACAGAGGACCTACTGCTTGTCCAGCTGCGTCAGGACCACTCTTTTGTAAGCTTACATGGAACTTGGGGGAAGGTGGTGCCCAAACCACAGCTCCACTTTACTGATTAGGCGAGGCACAGGGTCCCATGATTAGCAGTGGTTCACAAGGGTGGGGTATCTCTGGATCAGAGGGTTGTGTCTGCTGGAAGGCACAAGGAAATAAGGTGACTTTATATTTGTCTCACACTCAGGGTTAAATGTGACCCCGAGCATGGTCTCTACATGCCTTCTGCAGGGTCAGTCTGCTATACATGCCTGGGTGTATCTTTCTGTTCCTTACTAAGACCAAATAATGACTAGAGACACACTTGAGCCTGCACACCTGCATGTATGTGTATCTGCTAGTAGTTTTTTAAGTGCATGTGCCCTTACACACCTGTTTGAGACAATGCATGCAACGTGTGTATGTGCATTGGTGCTGTGTGTGTATATGCTGGGGATCAAATCTAGGGATCTCTGCATTCTTGAGCTGCACCTCCAGCATCCTATGCATGCCTGTACAGGTACAGGTGTACGTATGTTTATTTTGCGGCGCTTTGTGCGAGTTCATAGCTGTTCGTGTATGCCTGAATGTGCAAGTGTAGGTAACTGTGATACACACTCTCAGCCCACTTGCCTATGTATTTAGATACACACTTGTGTCCCTGTGTATGTGCATAGAGCTTGTCTGTGCCAGTCCGTGAACATACATTTGTCTACATACACATGTTTACTTAGGTGCAACAAAATCATTATAGAGGTGGCTAAACTCTGAGTGAATCTTTGGCCAGCCTGTTATCAGATATGGATGCTGAGGCTTGCTGTTCCTGAGAGTATGGGAGTGGGGGCTCACCTGCCCTGATTCTATCTGGTTCGCTCATGTGGGACCTGCACAGGGTACCCCTAAAACCTGACAGCCTCCACTGGGGTCTGGAGACCTGCTCAGGTGTAGCAGTTGGTGAAGTGTGGCTGGCACCTGCTGAGCTGAGCTCCTAGGTTCTAGAGATCTCCTGTCCACATACAATTGGAAACCCCACATCTTTGGCTCTCAAGGCTGGCTGCACTAGTCTGGAGCCACCTCACTGGACTCCTGAAACCAGACTCAACTCTGCAATAGACTACTAGGAGGGTCCCAGGGTCCCAGGCACTGAGCATGTTATCCCTAATCAGGGCATGTAGGAAGTAGATACCCTAAACGGGCATTCTGGACATTCATCCTACTGAGTGAGGAGGGCTCTGCTCAGGAGCAAGACTACTTCATCCATGCCACTTACAGCCTTTGGGCTCCACCCACCTTCAATTCCACATCGTAAGTGGGCCACTGGGGTCTAAGGTAGTACAGGAGCCCTGGCTAATTAAATCTAGCCTGATGTCTACATATGGAGTCTCCTTTTTAAAATTAACTTTATTGCTATTTTGCCGGCAAATATATCTGTGAGGGTGTTGGATCCCCTGAAACTGGAGTTACAGTTGTGAGCTGCCATGTGGGTGCTGGGAATTGAACTGGGGTCCTTAGAAGATAAGCCAGTGCTCTTAACTGCTAAGCCATCTCCCCAGCCCCAAAATGAACTAAATGACCACAGAGGGGAGTTGGAGTCTTTTTTTGTTGCTGTTGTTTTTGAGATAGGGTTTCTGGGCAGCCCTGGCTGTCCTGGAACTTGCTCTGTAGACCAGGCTAGCATCAAAGGCAGAAATCCACCTGCCTCTGCCTCTCTAGTGCTGAGATTAGAAGTGTGGGCCTAACCCACCTCCATTCCCACTCCAACCACCAAGGAGAGAAAGCAAAGTCTAGTCCCAGAGCCAGTGTTTATTAGCAAGATGGAACCCAAGAGCAGCTATGGCCTGGGTAGCAGAGGGCTGCAGGAGCCCCCCACCCATCTACCCAACTGCCCCCAGAGCTATTTACACCCATCACCTGAAGCGGTGGGCAGAAGGGAACCTTGGGGGATGCCCTGCAGGCTCTGGGCCTCCACCATGGCCCATCTACCCTCAGGGCTGGGGGCTCTTCTGAGCCACGCCTGCACTTGGCCGCTGCTTCTCTCCCCATGGGTCAAGGCGGCACAGGAAAAGCTAAGGAGGTAGAGTGGGGTGGACCTGCCAGGACAGGCAAGGAAGGGAGAAGAGAAGGGCCTGCCCCACCCAGGCAGACTTCTCTTCTGTCCCCAATAAATAGAGAATAAATACCTGGGAAAGGCTGGCCTTGACTGAGCACCCCTGACCCAGGCAGGGGCCTGTATCCTGTGATGGCCCCTTCCTCCCTCCTCTGAGTGCTCTGAGGGCCCACCCCCAGACTCCACAGCAGTCCTGGTGTCCATGTCTACGCCACAGCACAGCTGACAACATTCATCAGCAAAGGTGTATGGTCCATGCCCCGGCAAATAGGGCTTGCTCCCTCCCTGTGTTCTGGAGATCTTGATGGCTGTTGAGCAAGGAGATTTCCGCAGAGTCTGGGGGCTGTGTGGTCTTGGCCTGGCCCTGGCAACTTCCTGGGCCAGGATGGGCATGCTCAGTCATGTGCCATTGCTGACCAACATGGGTCTAAGTTCTGGATAATGCTGCCACTGAGGCAGGCTATATACAACCCACCAATAAATACTGTCTTTGCAGGGGTAGGGTATGTAGAGAATATAGATATTTTATATATATATATATATATCTTTTATATTAAAAGGGTGAGGGGCTAGGCTGGTCCTATGTAGGCCTCCCGCAGCCGGCCTCATGTGTCCGGAGGGTGGTGGCGACGGTTCCGGGGCTTTTTCTGGTCCTGGGGTTCAGGAGGCCTGAGTGCTCCTAGAGCCTCCCTGGGGTTGGGGGGCACATGGCGCCAGTAACCCTGGCAGTACTGATGGATGAGGCCCACTTCCGGCTGGGCTAGGAGCTGGGCCAGCTCCTGATAAGGAGGTGTGGGGAGGCCTGCGCCAGGAGGTGGAGGGACGCTCACAGCCAGTGGGGGGAAGAGGGCAGCATGGACGGCATCCCGGCCCAGTACATGCAGCTGCACCCGAGTGACGATGTGCTTGAAGTTGTTCTCAGTGGCCGTGCAGGAGTAGAGGCCGCGGTCACCAAGCTGCAGGGCGCGAAGCAACAGCCCCTGCTCTGTGCGCAGGAAGCGGTCCTCTGCACGAATCTGCAGGGGTAGGGGTGGGGGCTCAGGGGCTGGGTCACCACTCCACGGCCCTAGCCAGCTTCCAGATGAGGCCTCCTTTGTGGTCATTCCAGTAGAGATACCCACATGGTATTTCCACAAACCAAGAGTAGAGCCCACGTACTGTTTGCACATGAGAAGGATCTGAATAAGGCATCCACACATATCCCCACTTCAGAAGGGATGATGACACTAGGGGGCGGGGAGTTCTGAACAATGAATGAGAAAATTTTGGAGCACACACAGAATTTCCATTTAATGAGAATACCCAATTGTGGCACCCACATACCATTTCCATGTAAAGAGGGACACCGGTAAGGGTTTTCCAGAAAATATCCACAGAATTTCCATATACTGGAGCTCACCCACATGATTTCCATACAAGGAGGTATACCCCAACAGAGTACAGATATGGAATGTTTTGTTCTTTTGTTTTTTCGAGACAGGATTTCTCTGTGTAGCCCTGGCTGTCCTGGAACTCGCTCTGTAGACCAGGCTGGCCTCAAACTCAGAGATCCGCCTGCCTCTGCCTCTTGAGTGCTGGGATTAAAGGTGTGCGCCACCATGCCCGGCTCAGATATGGAATTTTTATTAAATGAAACCAGCCTGTAAATGGTTTCCATATACTAAAGCCTACCCCACAGAGCGTCTATGTAACTCATATCACTCAAATGATTCCGGTGTAAGGATGGGAGCTCAGAATGGGTTCCACAGAATGAGGGCTGCCCCAGGCTGGCTGCCATACTCTATTTCTCTCACATGGGCTCACCACTGTGAAAAAGAACGCCCATATCCACAGTGCAGCATTGCCCCTTGGGGGACACAGGAACTCACCTCACGGCGCCGGTCACTGGGATCTCGCTGGAACAGCCACTTAACAGTGGCTTGGGGGGAGCGGGGCTGGCACTCGAGGAAAGCCGCGCTGCCTGCCACGCCATACTGCACAGACTCTATGGCATTCTTGTTTGCTGTGGATCGAGAGGGCCTTGAGTGGAAGTAGCATTGCTCCTAGGCAGTCAGTCTGTTCAGTAGGGAGAGGCAGGCATCAAGGGGCACCCACACACAAAGACAGGGCACTACTGGGCATCTACCCATTGAGAGAGTTGACACAGGACACCCTAATCCCAGACCTAAGGTTCCCACCACCCAGGGAATCATCTTCAAGTCTCTACCGTGGGGGCGTCCGCGGGCACGGGTGAGAAGCCCCCTAAAGGATGTGCAACATGCCGACTCACCATTGGAATTGAACCCACGGCACTGCCTGATGGGGTTCCCGTGGCGGACGTCTTGCCGGCGACTCCGCCTGGGGGAGGATAACCCCTGAAGGAGAGCTCTTGGGAGGCTTGCTCCCAGGTTCCTGCACCCCTAAGACTCTAAACAGGGCCCTGTCCCCCAGGGCAGTTATGTCTTATCCATGCTCCACTGCCACCCCCACCCCGGCACTGTGGAGAAAATCCCAAGGTTCTGGCAGTCTATACCTCTTGGAGGATGCGGTGTAGCGGGAGCAGGCCTGGCCATCCCAGGCACAGTAGGGGTCGCGGGCGAGGCAGCAGTCTGCACAGGCAGCTCCATAGGCCTGGCAGCGGTGCAGACTCAGGTGAGTGACGCCCACAGCTGAGGCCACATACAGTTGTTGCTGGGGGCAGAGGCAGGGAGCGTCAGTTCTCACAGACAGCCCTACCAGGAGCCAGCTGGGCGGGATTCCTTCTCTTCTTGTTTCATGTGCCCTATCCTTACGCCAAGGGCACAACCCCAGTGGGGCACGGGCTCCAACCGCACTCCCAGCCCACACCGCCAAAAACTCACCCTCTTGGAAGAGATGGTCATCGTCTTAACGGCTGCTGGTTCCTGGAAGAAAACAGGGGTCAGCTTGGGACCCCGAGGACCCCTCCCTGACCCGGCTTAGGTCTAAGTTCAGAGGCTGGGGGACCAGAGAGGGTCACGGTGGTGTGGACAGGACTGGGTGGTATTTCACCTACCTTGAAGACCTCCACCTCCTCCAGCATGAGCTCCTCCACCTCCTGGTCATCCTTGGGCAGCACGATGACCTTCTGCACTGTCCCGCGGTCTGGAACGGGCCGGGCAGGACCTCAGTGGGGCTGGGGATGCTGGGGAAGGGGCAAAGCCTCAGCCCCTTCCCCACCAAAGCCCCATCTCCTTTAGGGCAGTGGAGTAGGGCTGCCATGCTGAGGCTCAGGGGCTTCCCTTGGATGAAAGGGATAGTTGGGAGGGGGGAGGCTAGAACGGGACAAAGGGGGTCATTGCCAGGGTCTGCCCCCACACCCAGACTCTCATTTTGGGCCCTCCTGAGAACATAAAATGGGCAACTGAGCTGGGTGCTATATGTACGTATGTACATACGTGTGTGTGTGTGTGTGTGTGTGTGTGTGTGTGTGTGTGTGTGTGTGTGTGTGTGTGTGTACACGTCTGGGCAAAAAGTTAGATCCCTTGTATCCTAAGTTCTTTCCAAGTCATACAAGGCCCCTAGGGGCCCGGTGTCCCTACTTTCCTGCCCCTGGAAATGGGAATAGATGGAGTTTTCCCACTCTAGTCCTGGCTGTTCTGGCCAAGGAGAGAAGGTTCCCATAGATGAGTCTGAAGCAACCCCCAGCTGGACAGAATCTAGTCCCAGGATCAGTTCCTCCCATCCAGTGGGCCCAGTGTGGGAGGGTCTGAGAGCAGCAGTGGGTACCTGTGCCCAGGAAAAGCACCTCATAGCGCCCATCAGCTGCATCCACCTGGTCCACAGCGACCGTGGTGAGGCGGTAGGGTGCACCTGTACGGACCACCAGGGGTCGCCGTTGCAGCGGGTATACAGCCTGGTACATGAGTGGGTGGCTACGCATGAAGTTGATCACTTCATCAGGGTAATCTTTAGTGGACTTCATTGATGGCGTAAAGGTTCCGCCAGGGCACTGCAGGCAGATAATGAGGGTCAGTCCTAGGTGGTCCAGGCGGGGCACGTGGACCCATTAGCTCAGGAGAAGCTTCCACACTGTCCCTACATCTACCTGTTTCTCTCTCCAAACCCCTTCCCGAGTTCTGCCTTCCACCAGATCTGTCCTGCGTCATGACCTTGTGGTAGCATTTGGCTGAACTAACCACTCCCTTCCCATGTCCTCATCCCCACCCAGCTGTCTCCTTCCTCTCTGGCTGTCCTGGTTCCATTGCTCTTTCCTGTGCAGCTGGGCTGCTGGCCTCAAGATCTTGACACACACTGGGCAATGCTTTCTCTACCCCATCGCTGTTCCTTCTGCCTTGGGCTCAGCCTGTCACCCTTCCAACTCCAACTTCATTCTGGAAGGAAGCCTTCCCAGACCCCTTCAAAGACCAGCTTCCCCATACCCGTACTGATCCCACAGTCACATCTGCCACTGCACTAGGTCAGATCATGTCTAAGCTCTCACACTCAGTCTCCTGTGGCAGGCCCACCCAGGTCATACCCAGACAGACTAGATAGTTCCCAATGATGCAGAGTAGGTGTGGCTTGATCCTGCCCATTCCTCATCACCTTTCCT